GTTATTTTAAATTTGATATATTAATTAATATCGAGCTACTTATGGGGTCATATAGATATATGAATTTTATACTAATTTAGAAAATTTAATATATAATCTGTGCATATTAATTTTTATGGACGAAACTGACTTTCTTTTAAATTCATTGGTTCTATAGAATATCACAGTGATTACAAATTTTTAGTTCACAATGTACAGTACGAAAATTCTAGAGTACCGTAATAAAATTTGAAGTAATAGCAAAATTCTTATGGGGACATGTAAATATATGAATTTTATATTAACCTAAATAAAGAGTAAATTTAATATATAATTTGTGCATATTAATTTTGATGGACGAAACTGACTTTCTTCTAAATTCATTGGTTCTATAGAATATCACAATGATTACAAATTTTTAGTTCACAATGTATGGTACGAAAATTGTATAGTACCCTAATAAAATTTGCAGTAATAGCAAAATTCTTGTATTGTGACAATAATCTATTAGAAAATAAATATAAGATAAATAAAATACAATAAATAATAATACTGCTTCCAATAAAAATGGAAATAAATAAAAATAATATCCAAATGAAACTAAATGTAAACACTTCCACGCTATAAGATAAATAATAATACTGCTTCCAATAAGAATGGAAATAAATAAAAATAATATCCACTAAAACTGAATGTAAACACTTCCCAATAAAGATAAATAACTCTTAATAGAAAATAACAAATAAATAAGCAGCACCTGAAAGAATCACAACTTTCTCCCTATCTTGTTCTCAAATCCTCGACAAACCTGGCAATCGGGACCCCAAAAACCGCAAGATTCGAAGCACAACCGCTTCAACAACTCGCCAAGAAGAAAAACGAAGAAGGAAATGAAAAATAAAAAAGGAATCGAATCTTTCCGAAAAAGAGTACCACCTAAAAGTCTCTCCCGAGCCTTTTAATCAATCCCCTGGATGGAAGGAAACAGGCTACGATGCAGGAGAGAATTTTCAAGCGAACAGCTCGTCGAACGGTCTGGCGAGCATGGATCGGGGGACTCAACGAAAACAGGAGAAAAACGAAGGATAAATCCTTGAACCGGCAGACTGGGCTCGCGTGATATAAAGCACTTACTGATATAACTCGTGCACTTACGCGTTGGACTTAATCCGTTGCTCGTTGTATCTTCGATGAAAGTCAAGCAGTTCCTGCACCAGACCGGTCTCCATCATGGCGTTGACTCTGCTGTCCAGCCGATCCTCCAGGATCTTCTGCAACAATTTTGGAGAAACAGGGATCGAATTAATTGACCGAGATCCAACAACGTTTCGTCTATATTAACACTAGAACAACCGACGATTGACGTATGCCTATTTCTACAGGAGGGGTCAAAATGACTTGTTTTTCATAAATTCATAAGTCATTTAAGAAAAGACATAGCAATTCTTACGTTTTTATGTACTTTTCTATTTTCTGTGTGAAAATTGAATATAAACTGAATAACAATAATTTAAAAAATAATTACGCGTAAAAGTCAAAGACATTTTTTGCATGTTACAATTATTTTAGCAGAGCATCTACTATAGACTCGTTTATGCATGTACCACAAATATTGTTCAATTTTATAATATTATTAAATATCTCGTCACTCGATCACAATGTTCGGCTTGCTAAAGACGAGATATCTCGTCACCCGATCACAACGTTCGGTTTGCTAAAGACGAGATATCTCGTCACTCGATCACAATGTTCGGCTTGCTAAAGACGAGATATCTCGTCGCCCGGCCACAACGTTCGACTTGCTAAAGACGAGATATCTCGTCACCCGTACGCAATGTGTTAATTCTTTGCATTCGGCGATTTTTTCTTTACAGAAAAATAGTAATTCAAAGATTTTCTGCCATAAACTCGACGATATTTTTAAAACGTATGCAAATCAAGACGTAGAATTATTTTACTCCAGTATTTCACGCATCGTTCGGTAATTTTAAATTTGATATATTAATTAACATCGATCTTTAGAATCTGATTAAATGGCGATTGAGAGTCGCCTCTCGAGTGCAAAGGGTTAATTATCCCTGATAAGATTAGTTGGATCAACGTCTGTGTCCGTTACCTGCTTCCACGAGAAGGGTCACGTTAGAACACTAACCTGGTAATTTTTATTTTATTATATTTTAGAACAATTATACGATTGTTGATATATCGTTGATCTCGTGAAAGATATACATTCTCTCTTCGATCGCACATTTTATTATTCGTTACTCTGCTAATAAAAATTTGCAAATGAAGAAAACCTTGACTTCACGAAAACTGAATACCTTTCTCTTTCGCTGCGACAGTTTAAGAAGCAAGCACGATCACATTTTAATACACCAACGTGCTCGACAGTTTCGTGTAAATGTCACATTTCACACCCACGATTGCATCGGTGGCAGTCGAACGTGTCAGAAGAAGCACCGTGGGTGTTTAGCCTCGCAGAAAGCGTTTTCTACTCACTTCCACGCTTTTCAAAGACTCTTGTAAACTTCATAAAGGACATTCCACTCGTGATCTCGTAAAAATATGACGAAATTAACCTTTTCTCTTTCTGCCAATTTCTCCGAAACAGTTTCGACCTTCTAAAACATACGCGAGTATTTTATACAGCTATTTTTTAGCGAATAATGTCGATCGTTGAATTAAGTACAACGAATTTGAATTGCGACAATGTCGACCTTAACATAAATTCGAAATACAAGGATCGAATGGAGAAATTTCAATGGTAAATAATTTGAGGATCACTTGATTCAAATTCGAGGCAAATGGCAGAAATTTTGTCAAAAATATTAGGTGAAGTAAAAAGAAATCCAATATTTTTGCATTCGAGGCAAATGGCAAAAATTTTGTCAAAAATATCAGGTGAAGTAAAAAGGAATCCATTATTTTTGCATTCGAGGCAAATGGCAGAAATTTTGTCGAAAATATTAGATGAAGAATTTTTGCATTTAATTTCATTTTTACTCATTTACTACACCTAATATAATGAAAGACGAAGTAAGTTAACAATGTTGGCCACTACCTGAATATTCCAGTATTTGTATTTATAAAAATAATGGATTTCTTTTTACTTCACCTAACATTTTTGACAAAATTTGCCATTTGCATCGAATGCAAAAATAATGGATTTCTTTTTGCTTCACCTAATATTTTTGACAAAATTTCTGCCATTTGCCTCGAATGCAAAAATAATGGATTTCTTTTTATTTCGCCTAATAAATGTAACATAGTTGAAAAAGAAATTTGATTATGGCTAGGTTAGCGTGACTAGAAATTTGCGATTCGGTAGGAGATAGAGGAAGATAAAATATAGCTTTTCTATTTTGTGTGTGCATGTTTTATACCTCTTTATTAAAAAGAGCTTTGCCTATAAGTTTCAATAAAATAAAATAAAATAAAATAAAAAATGACAAAAATTAAACTGCCTCTGACGATGACACCTATCCTTCACAGCATCCCTCCACTTTCAAAGCAATGATCGATAAAAAAGTCAATTTCTATTCAAACGCTTTTAACCTTATTCAATCCAGCCTACCGTGAAGAGCATACATACATACATATACACACATACGCAAAAAATATATTCAAGGTGGAGAAACTTTCCGTATGTTACAAAATTTATTATTCAGAGGTGCTTCTGGTGTTCCTATAACGTTATATCTTTAATCGACACAGCCGAGAAATAAATACCAGCCTAACCTTTGAAGCATCGACAGATTTCAATTTTTCATGTTTCACGAACACTTTCGCGAAAGTTTGAAAGTGTAGTTTACACGATGGCTATTTTCTACCGTTGTTTTCTTTTCGTTTTTAGCAAAATGTGAGTGCATCACAGAGGTGTGTGTACTCTGAGGTATTCTTTACTTTAAAAGATTGCTATTCCTTTGGACAGACCTGTGAATATTTTGATTTTTACACGTGATAAATTTTGAGAATAAATACCTGTCCTCACTCACTTTTGGACTCCAAACGATTGCTATTCTTTCACAATAATGGTTTCAAAATTCTTAGTACAGAATTTTATATTTATATCGAAAAAATTTGAAGGCTAAAGCAGTCCATAATTACAAATATTTTAATTTCTACAGCTAAAACATTTCTACAATCTCTGCAAGAAGAATATTTTTATAATAATTTATCTGAATTCCTATTTCTGATATATTACATTCTCATTTTGTAATAAATTTTATATTAATCTAAATCTTAACTGACGAAACACATATTCTACTGACAAAGATCTTGAAATTTGTCATAAAATCATAATAGAACAGAAAATTATTTTAAAAAATTATTTAAAGTCGATAATTTTGGAGGTACAAACACGTCTATATATATACAGGGTGTCTCAAAAAAACGTATACACACTTTAATACCTTATTCTTTCTAATTTATTTTTTTCTGTAATCTTTAATCTATCTAAATATATACTGTCTTTATAATCACGCAAAGTGTGTATACTTTTTCTTGGGACATTCTGAATATATACTTTTACAAATTTCAAACCAAGTTCTAGTCCATATATGTACGTAACTAGGAAAGAAGTTCCCGGTTCCAACAGAGAGTGACATCCCACAACGAAGACCATTAAAACCCACGAACCCAAGGCTAATGGCGCTACTAAACCATTACATTTACCAGAATAAATATGAATTCACGAATACCTGTTCATAAACCAACAAGCAAAGACGCAACTTGATTTAGTCCCAAATATTTCGCACGTTGCTGAGGAGTTGTGCAAACGTCTAAAAATATAATTCACGGAATCCCCTTCAAGTGACGGATGAAAAACTTCTTCCCAACATCAAAATCCTAAAAATCCCTCAATCAACACCAAAAATGACTCGATCGATCGAGGTAATCATTAAAATATTTAATAACGAAATATTTAACCTAAAAATCGCCATTCTGTAACATGTACTTAAATATAATACAAACAAAAATATCATTAATCACAATGCAGCAACAAAAATGAATAAATATATCTAACACCGATTTCCTAATTCAATAAAACTCAAAATTAACTATACTCTCTTCAGTATCTACTATAAAACCAAAACTTTGAACCATCTGAATCAAACTCGACGTTAATTCCACCAAAGATAGTTCAAATGTCTCCACGATCCATAAAACACAAAAATCCTGACACATTTAACCGCGTTTCTATTTAACCCATTTGCATCCAAGCGCGGAATATTCCGTGAGCCAAGACAGTCACCTATCACCGAGCGCGGAATAATCCGCGAGCTGAATTTTTCCATTAACAGTTAAGGGGTACCCATAAACGAAGTTTCATACTTCTTAATCCATTTTCTACGAAATTTTCAAAGCATCGCGATTAAATTTTTGAAATATTGATATTAACCCATTTGTATCCAAGCGCGGAATATTCCGCGAGTTACGACTGTCGCCTATCACCGAGCGCGGAATAATCCGCGAGCTGACTTTTTCCAGTACTAGTTGCTGAATATTCTTCATATGCCGCAGATCACGTTCGATCCCTTTTGTGAGCATCTCATCTACATCGGTTCGTTATATTCTTAACAAGTTTTGCTTTTGTCATGAAAATCCTTTTAACTGCCATTATGAGTAGGTGCTGATAGGCGCGCGGTGATACGGGCTAGTCGTCAGTTGAACGTCGCTGATGCCTGAACACGGCACCTCAAGTAGAGCCATGATTCAAATGGGTTAAATAATACTCGACAATAATTTCGCTAGAAATAGCCACGCTCTGTCTTCTCTATTCGCAAAGGACAGAAATTCTGAATGGAAGAACAGGAAACTGGAATTTAATCGTATTCCCATCCTATTAAAACTCAACGTCAAGATTCACTGAAGACAGCTATACACTCTCTACTCGTAAAATACAAAAATTCCGGAACCAGTCTTCCAGACTTATTCGGTAGTTCCAGTATTAAGCGAGATACACGGTATCTCTTCATTTCGATATGAACGGGACACTCCTAGGGCTACCTAGATAGCCGGAGCTAGAAGGCTAGCCGCGCCATTAGAAAAAGGAAGGAACGGCCATCGTGGCCTTCGACGGGTTTTCAAATTAATCCTGTCTCTCTCCCACCTTCGGGCCAGGCCCGTTCCTTCCCGTTTGATATGTACCCGCTAATAGCTAAAACGCGTTAGAGGAGTTCCGTGTCCTCGAAATCGTGCTCGTGCAAAATCTCTGACCGGTCAGGTATGTCGGGTATCGAAGGCGATAAACCGTTCCCGACGTGACTCG